TATCTATTGCTACATTATAGCTAACATGTGTAAACCCTCTGTTGCTACATTATAGCTAACATGTGTAAACCCTCTGTTGCTACATTATAGCTAACATGTGTAAACCCTCTGTTGTTACATTATAGCTAACATGTGTAAACCCTCTGTTTCTACATTATTACTAACATGTGTAAACCCTCTGTTGCTACATTATAGCTAACATGTGTAAACCCTCTGTTGCTAAATTATAGCTAACTTGGATAAAACACCTTGTTGCTACATTATTAATAACTTGTATAAAACACCCCGCTACTAAATAATAGCTGACTTGTATAAAACACTCTGTTGCTACATTATTAATAACTTGTCCAAAACACCCTGTTGTTACATTATATCTAATGTGTAAAAACACCTTATTACTACATTATAGCTAGCTTGTGTGAACCCCTACTGCTACATTGTTACTAACTCGTGTATCAACATAATTTTAGGTTTATTTCTTAAGTGTTATTCTCTCACTTATCGTCATGGTTACATATCGGAGAGGGAAATATATTCTATCAATATCGAAACCTTACTGATCTTTGATTAAGATGCTATAACCTCAGCTTCTCATTCACGCAAAAAAAAAAAATGCCTGACTTTCAGGCTTCAGTTTTATTGGCAGTAAATGTGTTTAAGAAAATTAATTTGAGTAATATCCATGTAAGAGGGAAGGTTTTGATTTTTTATTACCTTATTTCGTAAATTTAAATGCCTCAGATATAAAACGCTATGTATTCAAATTTGATGACGAGGAACCCACTTTGAGACTAATAATGGCTAGAGACGGCTTGAATGGGTAATGAAGAAAAACTTTAATATAAGTTTAACATAACAGCAAATGTACAACGTTTCGACAAGGTTTTGTCATCATGTTATGTGTTCAACATGCAAAATCTTCGGCATATAATTATACTTCATATTCAGACTTAAAATGCTTCTCTCTATAAACTGATGGATCTCTTCTTATCATAATCAATCACTCTGAGACAGCTACATTTCAAGTAATATTTTTCGTTTACTTAAAGGAAACTCTCTGCAAAAAAAAAAAGGAATATTTTTTTATAAACTGTTTATAAGAGTGGTTAAAATAAGATTTTCCGCCTAATAAGGAGAAAGTCCTTATTTACACGACACTATCCCTACTGATATATGAATATATTTAGCTTACTCGGATTTACTTTTTGACCTGACCCCGTTAATACTTGACCAAAAGTCGCCATATTCTCAGATTTTCTAAAAAGTAAGATGAGCAACATAATCTTATGAATTTTGCTTTTACTTTTCTCAAAAAAACTTCCTTTTTTTACTTAAACTTCCCTTCTTCAAAAGTAAAATAACTTGATATATTTTACTTCAATTTTCATTCAAAAGTAAATGATCTTATTTATTTTACTTCAACCTTTTTTTTCAAAAGTAAATAACTTTTTCCCTCTAGCTCAATCTTTTTTTTTTCAAAGCAAAATAATCTTATTTATTTTAATTAAACATTTTTGAAAAGTAAAGAAAAAACCCTTATTTGTTATCATTTGTTTGTTTAAAGGTAAGGTTTCACAGTGGACTATTTGCGCTATCCACTGCGGGGATCGAGCCCCTAAGTTTAGCGAATGTATACGATTTTCAAGCATACAGATGAGCCAAAGGAAGGTCTCTCATTTCTTCACTTCTTTCTTATCTTGTTGAGCACTTGTTTGAACACCAAAAAGTGGTTGAAGGTTTAGTACGTAGCTGGCTATTTTTACCCCTAGGCAGCACAGAACCTACCAAAACCTCAAATTGTGTCTCCTACACGTCATTAATGACCTCTCGAATCCATAAGCCATGGTTTTATGCTTGTAGCTCTAACGTCTAAAAGTTGTTATCAAAGTTTACTATTTTACTTATCCTAATCAAAGAAATTGGGCCTGGCATCACCTAATGGTTCAGGCGCTCGACTCGCGACCTTCAGCCACCGAACATGCTCGTCCTACATTGGTTGTTGACTGGGCTAGACAATTTTATAATTACCGGCCGACCACTAATTCACTAGGACTAAAGTCGAAATGAATAAAGAAAATCAAGGGAACTTAAGTTTAGAATAAATATAGCTATTACCATTGGTAATAAAAAATATAATATAATAAGAAATTAACTTTCAAAAGAGCTATATACATCTGAAGAGATATTCTTGATATTCTGTAATTTTTTTTGTCTTTCTTAGTTACCTATGTCAGATATTTTGAATATCGATTGCAAGTTACATTACTTGGTAAACAGTAACTTCGGGTCAATATTTGAACTAAATCCAAGCAATATCATATGAAAGAGAAAAAAATCACGATTGTATAATCCCTTTCCCTCATTTCTTAGAGGGGATGCTTAGAATCCCTTCTATGACATCTTGATGTAATCCTGCTTTAATACAAGATTGTACAATCCCTTTTCCTCATTTCTTAGAGGGGATGTTTAGAATCCCTTCTGTGACATCTTGATGTAATCCTGCTTTAATACAAGATTATATAATCCCTTTCCTTCATTTCTTACAGGCGATGTTTAGAATCCCTTCTATGACATCTTGATGTTATCCTGCTTTAATACAAGATTGTATAATCCCTTTCCCTCATTTCTTACAGGCATTACATCAAGATGTCATAGAAGGGATTCTAAAATTCCCCTGTAAGAAATGAGGGAAAGGGATTATACAATCTTGTATTAAAGCAGGATTACATCAAGATGTCATAGAAGGGATTCTAAACATCCCTGCTTTAATACAAGATTGTATAATCCCTTTCCTTCATTTCTTACAGAGGATATTTAGAATCCCTTCTAAGACATCTTGACATAACCCTGCTTTAATACAAGATTGTATAATCCCTTTCCCCCATATCTTACAGGGGATATTTAGAATCCCTTCTATGACATCTTGACATAACCCTGCTTTAAAACAAGATTGTATTATCCCTTTCCCTCATTTCCTACAGCTGATATTTAGAACCCCTTCTGTAACATCTTGATGTAATCCTGCTTTAAGACAAGATTTTAAAATCCCCTTCCCTCACTTCCTACAACGTATATTTGGAACCCCTTCTGTGACATCTTGATCTAACCCTGATTTAATCATTATCCAACCCTTGACTAATTTTGCAAAGGTTTGAGTATTAAAGATAGCACAGGACAACTAGACTTACAAAGAACTTCTAAGGTGGTTGCTTCTAAAAGAGGTGTTTCTAGTCGTTTTTTGATGACGTTGTTGGTCCCCTTACAGAAGAATTCCCCACGATGATCATGTCTAGAAGCTATAAACACGAGAGTGCTTGTGGTACGATAGGTTCCGTCACTCATCAAATCCTTGCTTGTTATTGGTTGAGGCCGAACGACTTCTGACCGATTGTACCAGGTGATATTTGCTGCTGGACGAGCGCCCTCTACAGTACAAGTTATAGAAACCATTTCTCCTTCCACAACCGGAGCTGATCGACCCCGAACTCTCAGACCCAAGGGGCGAACTACAAAGTTTCATACAAAAAATTTAAATAAAATAATAACACTAATTGTTTGACACTTCTACATATTTCATTCTTTGATTAATATAAACTATATTCTTTAATTTTAACCAATTTATTTAGTTTCTGTCATAGAAGTACTGAAAGACAAATCTACTGTAGTTTACAATACATCGATATAATTAAATCAATCTGCGTATTAAAAGAAGTAAACATTTCCTTAAATTCTGTGTATTCTTGTGAAATCTCTGGCTAATACCGTTATAAGTAGGTACTATAGTATGAGTAAATAGTGTATTCTCGGAAGTAAATTTAGTAAGTAGATGTAATATTGTGGCAATTAAATAAATTACTTTTGGAAGTATATGTAGCATTCTGACTAGTAAGTATAGTACTCTGTTACATATGTGTAACATTGTGATAAGTAAATGTATTATTGTATTTGGTAAATATAGTATTCTGTTACATGTGTGTTTAATATTGTGATAAGTAAATGTATTATTGTGGTTGGTAAGTATAGTATTCTGTTACATATGTGTTTAATATTGTGATAAGTAAATGTATTATTGTGGTTGGTAAGTATAGTATTCTGTTACATATATGTTTAATATTGTGATAAGTAAATGTATTATTGTAGTTCGTAAGTATAGTATTCTGTTACATATGTGTTTAATATTGTGATAAGTAAATTTATTATTGTGGTTGGTAAGTATAGTATTCTGTTACATATGTGTTTAATATTGTGATAAGTAAATTTATTATTGTGGTTGGTAAGTATAGTATTCTGTTATATATGTGTTTAATATTGTGATAAGTAAATGTATTACTGTGGTTGGTAAGTATAGTATTCTGTTACATATATGTTTAATATTGTAATAAGTAAATGTATTATTGTGGTTGGTAAGTATAGTATTATGTAACATATGTGTTTAATATTTTGATAAGTAAATGTATTATCGTGGTTGGTAAGTATAGTATTCTGTTACATATGTGTAACATTCTGATAAGTAAATGTATTATTGTAGTTCGTAAGTATAGTATTCTGTTACATATGTGTTTAATATTGTGATAAGTAAATGTATTATTGTAGTTGGTAAGTATAGTATTCTGTTACATATATGTTTAATATTGTGATAAGTAAATGTATTATTGTGGTTGGTAAGTATAGTATTCTAATAAGTAGGTATAACATTACATATTGTATTCTGGTATGTAGATGTAGTAGATTTTTGGAGAATATATTATCATATTAAATTAAATGTAAAGATTTAGTGAGTTGGTGTAATACTGAGTTTAATAAGTAAAGTATTATAATTAGAAGATACAGTGTTCTTGATATTAAGTATATCATTATAATACGTACATATAATTCTCTAGTATGTAACTGTAGTATTTTGGTAAATACATTTAGTATTCTGGTTAGTAATTACAGTAGCGTTGTAAATAGATGTAGTATTCTGCTAATAAACGTAGTATTCTGATTAGTAAGTATATAATTTTGGTAATTCTGTGTATTATTCTTTAGTATTGTGGTAAGTAGGTGTAGTATTCTAGTTGTTAGAAGAACAAACTGGTAAATAGTGGGTAAATATAGTGACACGTTAAGCAAGTGTGGTATTCTGTTAGTAAGTATAGTACTCCATTAGCTGACTCCTTCATACAGAGAGTAACGTGTTATGTAGTAAGTATAGTACTCCATTAGCTGACTTCTTCATACAGAGAGTAACACTTACTACATAACACGTCACTTACTGGAGAACTATACTTACTACATAAAACGTTACTCTCTCTATGAAGGAGTCACTTACTGGAGAACTATACTTACTACATAAAACATTACTCTCTCTATGAAGGAGTCACTTACTGGAGAACTATACTTACTACATAAAACGTTACTCTCTATGAAGGAGTCAGTTATTGGAGTACTATACTTACTACATAACACGTTACTCTCTGTATGGAGGAGTCACTTACTGGAGAACTATACTTACTCTATAAAACGTTACTCTCTGTATGGAAGAGTCACTTACTGGAGAACTATACTTACTACATAACACGTTACTCTCTGTATGAAGGAGTCACTTAATGGAGAACTATATTTACTACATAAAACGTTACTCTCTGTATGGAGGAGTTACTTACTGGAGAACTATACTTACTACATAACACGTTACTCTCTGTATGAAGGAGTCAGCTAATGGAGTACTATACTTACTACATAACACGTTACTCTCTGTATGAAGGAGTCAGCTAATGGAGTACTATACTTACTACATAACACGTTACTCTCTGTATGAAGGAGTCAGCTAATGAAGTACTATACTTACTACATAACACGTTACTCTGTATGGAGGAGTCACTTACTGGAGTACTTTTCCTTCATAGAGAGAGTAACGTTTCATGTAGTAAGTATAGTTCTCCAGTAGTAACGTGTTATGTAGTAAGTATAGTTCTCCAGTAGTAACGTGTTATGTAGTAAGTATAGTTCTCCAGTAGTAACGTTTCATGTAATAAGTATAGTTCTCC